AAGTTTGGATTGTTCCATTTCTCAGAGAGAGGGGGGTTCCCGTTGCGTACCTGACAGTTCCTACAAATAAGACTGCAAAACAGGCCGATCTTGCAGATGTCCACCCCGTCGATCAAGATGGTCCCGTCCGTCGGCTCCACCAATCGGAACAGAGCAACGCCCAGTGATGACTTGCCTAATGATATCAAGTTACATCAAAGAGAAACTCAGTACAAAATGTTTTCTGTTGTGCACATGGCTATATGTTCGTCATACATACCATATCATATCATATCTTATCATATCATATCATATCATATCATATCACTATCGACTGTATAATGGGAGTCATTGTAAAAAGTTTATGGAAAAAACAAAAACACAGAAAAGCGGAAGTGCTGCCTTACCCGATCCCGTTCTACCCACAATTCCCACCGACTCTCTGGGCCGGATGTTGCACTGAACGTCCTTCAGCACCAAGGGCAGGCTCTCCCTGTAGCGCATCTGGTACCGGGCAAACTGCACAACGCCCTGGTCAGGCCAGTTTTCAGCCGGGTCCGCGTCTTTTATATTCTCGGGGGCTTCCTGCTCCAGATTCTATGAGGGAAAAGTCCAGGTATTATGCAATGACTTGACAGGGATGTGGTTAAATGTGGTTGTTAACGTACGGCATACCAAACAAAATCAACACTTGGCAATACATTTGCAACAGAGACTGCGCAACCATACTGTGCATCAATGCACGTTTTGTGACTTTGTTTTCAGTGTTTCTTTGGTGGTGGTCAGACTAGAATGTTGAAGTGCGTACGTCGGCGTAGTGTGTTATCCTCTCCACACACGTGAACCCGGACTCCGTCTCTGACGCCGTCCGGACGGTCAGCTGTAGCAGGCCTGACGTCTGGCGGAACACGAGGGAAATACAGTTCTTATCGTTAGTCATGTGATTTACAGTACTACCACTACTACTTCTAACACTACTACATGTACTCGCACCGCCACTACCACCACCACAACTACTACTACAACTACTGCTGCTGCTGCTCCACTACGTATAGTACTAAATACTACAACCAGTACTGCTAACTACTATTACTACTACACCTCTCCACCGAACAGCTCTGGTATGCATCTGTTTGGCTAAACGATACAGTAGCATAAAGTGACTGTTGAAAACAATTATGTTTTGATAACTGTCAACAATTTTTAATGTAAATCAATCAATCAATCAATCAATCAATCAATCAATCAATCAATCAATCAATCAATCAATCAACATCCTACCTTTTCAGTTCCCTGATGATGTGTCTGAAGAAGATGTTGACCAGGGCAAACATGATGCCGAGCGGCACCAGCGCTATGAGGAACCACGGGAACACGATACAGACGTTCAGAATGGAGGCGAACACGACCCAGATGTTATCCAGGAACAACTGCATGGTCAGGGGCAGGCGGACGTCAACTGTTGGAAACAAAACAAAACATCTCTTAGAAATGACATTCTATCATGGTTACTGATTGAAGTAATACGATAAATATCTTTAATTTCTTAACCACAACTACACGTCTCTATGTTTTCAAACGGTTTATTTATGTTTTACAAATTACCGTAAAGGAAGGGAAACCCTAAAAACCTCCTCTCGCCATTGACAATACATTACGAGAGGAGGTTTTTTGATTAAAACTGATATTAACTTAAAAAGATAGGAAATAAACAGGAAATATCTTTTGGGGCCAGGCTACACCTGTCGCCCAGGTGCGCCGATCAAGTGCATCAGGTGGGACAGCTGGCGCCATCTGCACCTGTAACAGGGGGGAAGAGATCTTCTCACCTGTTGCTAGTGATGACGTCATACCGTCCCGTCCGCTCCAGACCTGATGAACGCCCGTTTGGCGAGTTGAAAACACCAGGGTGAAAACTCTTGCGCTTGGTCGGCGCATCTAGGCCAGAGGTTTCTACCGGGCGGACAACCGCCGGGTTACGGGGTCACCCCGTCCCGTAAAGGAAGGGAAACCCTAAAAACCTCCTCTTGCCATTGACAATACATGACAGGTGTGGTTTTTGGCATTAGCAAAAGATAGAAAACAAGTAAAATCTGAGATTTTATACCTCCGGGCTTTTTATTGTATATTTTTCCATGTTGTTTGTTATGTATAGTTGATGGTGTTGAATTTTATGTATTAGATTTAGCGTTCCTGGTTGTGTTAACACAGGTCAACATTTTCATCTGCAGCCCATACCATGTACCCACGGTAAAAATGCATGTCGAGAACGTCTGAGACAGTATACCACGGTATTTGTAAGTTAAGAAGTCGTAATATACGCCGAAAACATCCAAGATTGCGCAAGAGGGCGTTGACCCCTGACCCATTGGCCCACCCGGAAGTTGCTGGCAGCCAGCCCGGCGCCCCGCGCGACCATTGATCTAAGGGGTGTCCGAGACACGAAATACAAAATATTCTTACGCCCCAAAACACATATACAATAAAAAAAACGTGCACAATCTACAATCCAAAACATACACCGTGTCCCGTCTACCCCAACGCGAGATACAACTGCGATAATATTTCTTTACTGGATACCTGACACCCCCTCTTTGAAAACCGAACCAGACGTGGACGACACCCACGATACTTAATACACGCCGAAAATCAAAATACAAAACCACCTTCAAACTCAAAGGGGTGTCCATACGCTGTCAAAACGCATCATTTTCACGCCCTAAAACATACATACTAAAAAAGCAAAACAACGTGCACCATCTACAGCCCAATAGCAAATCGTATACCAAGTCACAGAAATATCCGTCCACCCAAGCGCGAGAAACGGCTGCGAACGTAATCTACATCTCCCACAAAACCCGTCCGCGGAGGGATACATCCCTCCCCGGAGGTAATTACATTTCTTTAAATGTTGGTTGTGAAATGGGAACAGAGACACAGGACACTACTTGGCACCATTTGGGCACCTGTACATACATACATGTATGTGTCCTTGTCCTATTTGCTCGATGTCCACTTATTTATGTCACTCTGCCCAGGATAGTTAAATTTGTCTACCGAAACTCCGTTCGTTCCATTTTTTCAGATAAGGCCATGTCAATTGTATGGATGGCATCTTTCGGGAACCTCAAAACTAATACAAGCGTGCGAATAAAATGTTTGGCAAAAGCAAATTGTCCTCCTTATGAAATTCATGTGTCCATGAAATTTGAAGAAATGAATTCACACGTAGAGTACAGTATGACGAATAATAATATCTTCGTTTTCATTTCTCCACATTTTCACGACATGAGTATCGTCTTGCATTTTTCTTCAATTTACGGCACACATTCGCTTATTTTGCTGCCTCTGTTTTACAGTAAAAATGTTTGGGAGGGGTGGACGAAAAATCATGCGCGACGATGTCATCCATAAAATCAACTCAACATGGCCTGATTACGAAACTCCACCGTCAGCGACACAATCATTTCTTCTACGCTGAATCATCAAGCCACACGCAGCAGTCGTATCTGTTTGACGTTTCGGCCACAACGTTCCTTGAAGAACTGCATTTTATAAAATTGCGTTAGCTACAATTCTTCGATATACGCGAAGAAAAAGTCTACAAAGCATCGATCATGGAACGTCTTCATAGCGCTTTCAAGGTATGGTTGTTGGTTAGTGTCATGCTGTCCGCCGCCGAAAATGATTCGTGTCCCCCTACATGCAGATGGGTAAGCTGCTCTGACGGCCGTCTACAGTTCAGTGGGAGTTGGTTTAAGAATAGAAACGTCAAACACCCTTGTCTCACTTGTGATTATGGTTCAAAAGACCCAGAACCTCTTCCTCACGTTTCATGTTTCAGACACCCGAAATGGGTCGGCGTCAGGGGTATTCCGTTTGGTGTTCTATCGGCGACAAAATTACCCATCCCCGAGCCCACACAACTGGTTTTCCTTAGCCTCGTGGACACTGAAATTACGGACTTGGAACAAAACATTTTAGCAAACCTTTCCAAATTACGGGAGTTGCACTTGGAATTCAACAACCTGACTGTTGTAAAAACCAGCTACTTTACAGGTCTACGTGGTGATTTGAGAGATCTTCGTACCTTGTCACTCGCGCACAATAAAATTTCACACTTAGAATCAGGCTGCTTCCAAGACCTCACTGGCCTTTGGGACTTGATACTCTGGAGTAACGAGCTAACATATATAGACCATTCTAGTTTCCTAGGTCTTCTAGAGCTAAGGCAGCTTGTTCTGGGATTCAATCGCATTGAGACAATCGATGGTAGAACTTTTCAATCTTTCAACCGGCACACGCTCCGCCTCCTGGACCTGAGTAGGAACAGGTTAGTGAAAGCATGTATCTCTTCTGAGTTATTTTCCGGTTTTGAGCACCACAAGATTAGATCATTGTTGACCCGAGTGAAACTCTCAAATATCGAGAGCGTCAATACTGATGTCACAAAACTGTGGGGCCTCATTTTTTATATTAGTTCTAACACGCGAAATATAGCTGTAGTTATCGAGAATTTCATTCTCTGTGTGGGTCCAAATTATGACGACAACGAATACCTAATAGCGTGGAATGTGAAGAAATCAAAAGAAGATATTTTAGGGGCTAAGAACCCTTGTTCTGCACTGGATAGATCGGCGACTCTACCAAGGTCAGTGCTGGTTGTATCCCCGTTTGTTGTTATTTTGGCTACAGCAGGCACGTCTGCCGAAGAGCAGTGCGTACTTGCTTGGAAGCACCAAAAAGGAGTCGAGTTACCCGTGAGCGATAGCCTCAACATCCGGCTAGCTACTGTGGATGTAGAGACACACCGAGATAACAGAAAAGCGAACACGGCACTTATATTCGACGAGAAGTCGCCAGAAACAGGAAACAATTCAAATATTAGGAGGGGCATAACACAGCAATTCGATGGCATTCAAGGTCAAGAAATAAGAAATGTGACCTGTCTTTCACTTACCCAAGATAATGCATCTTTTTCTTTCTTTGAAGTTAATCCCTTACAAATCACCTTTGGCAAAATGTGCTTAGAAAACCAAGTTCTCAATGCTAGCGAGAACAATACAGTCGCGTACAATGCCACTGTAATAAATAACTTCAATCTAGAAAACACAACCACAAAAGAAATGGTGACTAACAGAAGAGTTGTTACTGATGACCGTTCGGAAAAGGAACGCATCTCCATGGTGGGGTTAATTTCGGCATTGGTCACAGTGGGATCATTTTGCCTTGGGCTTACCTTGGCCTATGTTTATAGAAAACGACAGTTAGCTGGCAGAAATAATCACAGAAACTCTCATTTCAAACCAACTATGACTGTAGCGATGAAAAATATACATTCAAGAGGAAGAGCATCGTCGCTTCCACTTGTGGTACTTCGGGACACGCGAATCTTTGACAATTTGCATACATGTAGGCATCTTCAACGTCAGTATTCAGTGCCTAATTTTGCAAATAAAAACAGTAGGGGCTCCCATGGCAAGTCGTTCGATGCCCCGCACTATTGGGAAATCCCTGACGCTCTCGTAGATTCCAATGACCAGCCGGCCCCTGGACAACTCGACGCTCCACATTATTGGGAAATTCCGGACTCCTTAGTTGATTTTGACGCAATCGGCACCCCTCGGGCAATTCCGGGCACCCTCGTGAACTCTACTCGCCAGCCGACGACAGACGAACGCGGAGAAGCCCACTATTGGGAAATCCCGGACGCCCTGGTTCATTCCGCACCGAATTCGGAAGAACTTGACAAACCTCGTGAAATCCCGGAACCCCTCGTAAACTCCACTTGCCAGCCGACAACAGACGCTCTTGACGGTGCCCACTATTGGAACACCATTCGAGCCCACCGACGACCGTCATCACTTCCAATCGATATCCTAACTAATCATAACAATGAGCCAAGGCCATGCTCTCTTCCACATCAGTACTGGAACAATCCAGATGAAGATATCGATGGTGACTCTACCACCTTCTACGCTTCAGCAGCAGAGCCAAAGTTTACCGTTGTCACTAGGAGCGAGGATTGTGATCGACTATACAAAGGCATGGCTTCTAGCACAAGGACACAGACAGGCGGAGGACATTCGATTCAGGCTACATACAGAACTGATGATGTTCAAACGGCCTTTGTGGCTGTTACTGAAGACTATAGCATGGATAACTAGGCTCATATGGTATTAAGAGACGGGAGACGCCATAGACGTTCTAACCACTGTTACCAATGACTTTTAATGTTCATGATAATAGGATTATTATACTTACTCATTCAAAGCAGCATTGTATAACATTAGGAATATTCATACAAAAAAATCATTCTTTGTTGACAATGTAAATTGAGTCAACCCTACTCTGTTACATTAGTGCCATTCATTAAGTGCAGGTGCCAAAATGTAAGACCTTAAAAATGTGTTTAAACTTGTCATGGACACGCAGCTGTCAGCCATGTTTGTTTACATTATTCTGGTAGTTTGTGGTGGTACCACAAACTGAGTGCACCTCATGCGGGCTGTTTTAGTGCCAACCACAAATTTCAGAAATGTGAGATAATTGCACAAATATGTTGAAAAGTGGAAGTAAATTACAATCACAAGACAATTTCTTCAATAAAATATTTGAATGATTGGTGCCAAATACAATGCCGCTTCAATCTGCTTGACAAAAAGTTATCGAAAATTGATTTTCAAAAATACTTGCCATCTTCATATACACATTAACGTTGTTTTAAAATGGTTGTTTTCACAATCTAAAATGACATAACATTACAACAAACAATAAAAGGTCAACTAAACAAAGGTCCAACGAAAATAAACAGGCATTCGTAAACATGTAAAATTCGTAAATAACAAGTAATGCAATAGGAGAAGTAGTGGAGGGATGTGAGTACTCAGTCTGATAAAAACATTTAAAAAATGAGATTTTTGTGAATGTGAGTCGTTAAATGGGAACAGACAAACAGGACACATTGGCACCATTTGGGCACCTGTACATACATACATACATACATACATACATACATACATACATACATGTATGTGTCCTTGTCCTATTTGCTCGATGTCCATTTATTTATGTAACTCTGTCTGGGATAGTTAATTTTGTGTGCCAAAAATCCTTTCGTTCCATTTTTTCAGATAAGGCCATGTCGATTTGATCATATTAATGACCTCCTCCGGGACCCCCAAAACTGATGGGAGAGTACGTGCGAATAAAAAAATGGCTAAAAAATTATAAAAGAAAATGAGAATTTTTGCGTAAATAAGGGGCGTCGCACAAAACTGCGTCAAGCGACTGGGAGAGAAAAAGTAATCTCTAGGGAAGTCGGACCTCCGTTGGGTTTTTCGAGACATGAGACCCGATTGGTCATCGGGAAGATAAAAGCTGAGCAGATGTGTATCTTCGATGCTTGAAGATCGCATTTACCAATAGTCTGCGTGGTCGAGTATACATGGAAAGCGGATTGAAGGGAGAGGGTTCGAAACCGATGATACTTATCCTGTAGATCGTCTTGTCTCAAATGGCTAAACGCCATTTGTATATCTAGATTTTTTTTTTTTTTTAAATACAGTCTGTCGCTCCAAATACTGTAGTGTAAGGTCTGTGGATTACTTGACTAAGCAATATAACCTTGAGCGCTAGAGGGAGCTGTTTTTTGTTTACTTCAACAGTGTCCCTAATCATACAACACGTCTCAACTTCACAGCCCGTCCGGCAAAGATATCCTACACCCCCTACAAGACCCGATCCTGGTGTGTCAATTCTCCCACGTCTGTGCCCCCCTCCCCCTTTGCCGGCATTCTCTCAACACACCGACGTTCTGCCGTGACCCCAGCACAACCTGAGTTGTACCATAGAAAAACACTGGTCCGTAATTGAACCTGTCCTTTGTTTTGTTCTGTCAGGGTCTACTCTAATCAATGACCATTCATATTCCTCATACAACTAGATAGATTACGAAGTTTTAGTGACACAAACTCATGATCACCTTCATATGTTAGCCCATTTATTAAAATGGACCTACAAGAAGTTTCGGGAAAAAGTGGACGGCGAGAATCGAACTACACACTACCAAAAATGCTTTTTCTTGTTTTTCTTATTTTCTCATGGGAAGAAAATTTTTCTTTGGGGGAGAATAATAAGAAAAAAATAAGAAAAAAATTAATTTTCTGTATACCTACATTCTTGCACCAAGAACAATTTTCTCATTTTTCTTGAGTGGAGATAATTTTTCTAAAATAGGCTTCTTTAAATCTTGATTTTTCTTCGGTGAAGAAATATTTCTAGAGGAGATTCTAACTTACAAGATTAGAATTCTTTTAATCTTGAAATTTCTTTGGTAAAGACAATATTTCTAGGGAAGATTCTAAGTTACAAGATTAATATTCTTTTAATCTTAAAATTCCCTCAGACTTAGTTAAATTTTCTTATTTAATCTCCATGGAAGATTTCTTTCTTACCTGACATCAAAGTGATCAGATTTAAGTTTTTTTTCTTGTGTATGTCAAAAACTTTCTTGTTCATGTTACCTAGAACAACTGAAAAAGGCCATTCTTGTTTTTCTTTGCAATGTTTAAGAAAATACAAGAATTTGGTTTTTGCCTTTCTTGGCAAACACTGATTGGAAAAGCAAGAAATTTGATTATCTAAATCTATTATTAGAATAAAGCTCTGCTTAGTGTTTCTTTCTTAAAGTTTCTTGTTTTTCTTGACTAGAAAGCTTAAGAAAGATCATTCTTGTTTTTCTTGGCAACATTTAAGAAAATACAAGAATTAAGTTCTTATCTTTCTTGACAAATACTGATAAGAAAAAAACAAGAAAGTCTCATATAAAATTAATCTTTGATTAGGCTGAAGATATGGCTAGTATTATATTCTTAAACATTCTTGATTTTCTTCCCTAGAAAGTTTAAGAAAGGCCATTCTTGTTTTTCTTAGCAACATTTAAGAAAATACCAGAAAGTCTAAGAAAGATGATTCTATTTTGCCTGGTAATGTTCAAGACGATGTAAGAACTTTTTTCTAGTTTTTTCTTGTCATGTGACCTTTTCTAAACCCCTGATTGGTTGATTCAAATCCCAGAATGCAGTTAGGGGGTTTTGAACATAAGTCAGATGTAGGAGCTGCGCTGGTTACTTATTTTTGTCAGTTCCTGACTCATGTCAGATATGAAGTCAAAATCAAATCAAAAAGGACCTTGTGTACATGTGAAGCAATGGTGATCGTGGTCAGCTTGCTGAAGAAACCAACTTTGCAACAGAAAAAGCATGAAGCCAAACAGATTGAAGGTAAGTGCGCGCCCCCCTCCCCACCTATAAGATCTGTTGACATTGTTTTTAGACTTCATAGCCCAAATATTGTTACAGCGCCA